GCTGACAAATCAAAGAGAATCTGGTCTCTAGTTAATTAGCAAGAAGCAGGAAGTGGAAGTCTGGTTTAAATGGTAAAGAACCAGCTTTGAGCAAAAAAATAAAAACTGAATTCAAGCACAAAAAAAATTAAACATTGTATCAAAAAACTATCAAGAAAGTAAAGCATTCCACAAAATGGGAGAAAATATTTGAAATTATTTTTTCTTGTAAGACTAATATCCAGAATATATAAAGAACTCTTACAACTTAACAGCAAAATGACAACCTAATTTAAAAAATCAAGTCAAGGAGTTAAATAGACTTTTTCTCAAAAAAAAAGTCTATAAATATCCAATAAGCACATGAAAAGATGCTCAACATCATTGGTAATTAGATAAATGCAACTCAGACCCTGAGTCCAAACCCCAGTATCTCCAAGAGAGAGAGAGAGTGAAACAGAAACAAATAAAAATGACAGTAAGATATTATCACCTGTCAATTAAAATGGCTTTCATAATTAAAAAAATTTTAAAGTTTGGCAGAGATATGGAGAAGTTAGAGCCTTCATTCATTGCAAACTGACCCTTAAATTAAACATAAAATTCCCATATGACCTAGTAATTTCACTCACAGGTGTATTCCTAGTTGTCAAAGCTAACATAAAGGTAGAGGTAAATTTTTAAAAGCAAAACAAAGATTTGGGAGTAGTATAAAAAAATTAAGATTATAATCAGTGTACATGTACACAGAGTGAAATGGCCACTGGAATGTCTAGAAAACAAAGGAAGGGTTGGTGGTTTTGTTAGGACAAATAAATCGAGCAAGTCATTATGAAAAAAAATTCATTGGATTTTCTATGCTTGGAGCTGGCGAGCTCTTATTGGTGAGCAGCAGCTGTCACTCTACAAATCTAGCTGGTTGCCAGTTTTGTCAGTTGCTAGGAAAAAATGGGAACTTAAGAGATAAGATGAACTGTTTTACTGAATTGTCCTAGCAGAGTTCCTGGAACAATCATTAGGACCTGAGTGTTCTTTTCCCCATGACTTTTGGGCTCTGTTTTAGATGTGTGTGTGACAAGAATGTTTTCATTGTGTGCTGAGTTTCCACACAGGTGGTCAAATAAAAAACCTGTATACTAGCATTCATAGCATTATTCATAATAGCCAAAAGGTAGAAAAGGAACTTCTCATTTAGTGATGAATGGATAAAACATAATATATTCATACAATGGAATATTATTCAGACATAAAAAGGAATGAAGTGTGATTATATTGATGAGCCTTGAAGATGTTATGCTAAGTAACAGTAGCCAGGCACAAGACCACATACTGCATGATTCCACTTATATGAAACATCTGGAATAGAGACAGAAAGCAGGTTAGTGCTTGTTGGGGAATGGAGAGAAGAATAAGGAGAGCCGGGCGCTGGTGGCTCACGCCTGTAATCCTAGCTACTCAGGAGGCTGAGATCTGAGGATCGTGGTTCCAAGCCAGCCTGGGCAGGAGAGACTGAGACACTCCTATCTCCAATAAACCACCAGAAAACTGGAAGTGGCGCTGTAGCTCAAGTGGTAGAGCGCTCGCCTTGAGCTGAAGAGCTGAGGGACAGCGCCCAGGCCCAGAGTTCAAGGCCCACGACCGACAAAAAAAAAAAAAAAGAATAAGGAGTAACTGCTTAATAAATACAGGGGTGGGCTGGGAAGGTGGCTCAGTGGTAGAGCACTTGCCTTGCATGCATGAGGCCCTGGGTTCAATTCCTCAGCACCATATAAGCAAAAAGAAAAAGCCAGAAGTGGTGCTGTGGCTCAAGTGGTAGAGCGCTAGCCTTGAGCTGAAATGCTGAGGGACAGCGCCCAGGCCCAGAGTTCTGGACCCACGACCGGACCCAAAAAAAATAAAAAATAAATAAATACAGGGGTTTGGTTTGGTTTGTCCATAGTGGAGGCCCTCAGGGCCCTATTCTTGCCCAGTAGACACTCTACCATTTGAGCTGTTCCCTGAGCCCTAGACAATTTGGACTGCTACTCACCAATTTATGTTTCTCAAATAGCTGGAATGACAGGCATGACTGCAAGGCCAACTTTTATTGATTGAAATAGAAGTCTCACTAACTTTTTGTCTAGACTGACCTCAAACTACAATCCTCCCAATTTCTACCTCCTGAGTAACTGGGATTGTAAGCATCAGCCACACTGCATTTGGCTCAGGAGTTGTTTTAAGCGGGGATGATGCAAGTGCTCTGAAATTAGATAGTGGTGATGGTTGCACATATATGAAAGTATTAGAGGACACTGAATTATACACTTCAAATTATTTAAATTGTCACTTGTATATTAGGTGAATGTTGCCTCAATGATTTTCCTGTGTGTGTGTGTGTGTGTGTGTGTGTGTGTACCAGAGCTTGAGCTCAGGGTTGCTTGGTCACACCTGGGCACCTGGTGCTCTACCATTTGAGCCACACCTCCAATCCAGCTTTTTCCAAGATAATTAGAGATAAAATCTTACAGACTTTTCTCAGTAGGTTGGCTTCAAACTTTGATCCTCCAGGTCTCAGCCTACTGAGTAGCCAGGATTACATGCCTGAACCACTGGTGCCTGACTGGTTTGTTTGTTAGAGTGTTGTTTTTAGTAAGGTCTTCCTGTGTAGTCCAGACCAACCTGGAGCATGTGAGCTTTCTGCCTCTGCCTTGGCCTTGAGTGTAGTACCATGCCTGCCTTACCTGTTTTTTTTTCAGTAATTTTTTAAAAAATTGGCATACATTAGTAGTACAGGGAATTTTATTGTGATAATTATATACTGTGTACAGTGTACTTTGATCAGGTTCACCTTCTCTGTCATATTCCCTTACTACACTCTTTTTTTTTTTTTGCCATTCCTGGGGCTTGAACTCAGAGCCTGGGCCCTGTTCCTAAGCTTCTTTTGCTCAAGGCTAGTACTCTACCACTTGAGTCACAGTGCCACTCCCAGCTTTATATGTTTATGTGGTACTGAGGAGCCTAATTTAGGGCTTCATACATGCTAGGCAAGCACTCTACCAATAAGCCACATTCCCAGTCCCCTCATTATCAAACAGTATTTGCTGTGTTTTATTGTGTTATATTAATTCCGTGTGTGTGTGTGTGTGTGTGTGTGTGTGTGTGTGTTTGTGTACTTTGATCCTTCACACTCCCTCCTTACCCTTTACTTTCTTTGATCCTTCACACTCCCTCCTTACCCTTTACTTTCTTCCTCTTCCCTCTCACTGATCCTCTAGTCTCCCTTTACACTCACAATATCATCAACATCATTATCATTTTAAGTCTGGATTCTACAAATGAGCAAGAATGCAGTATTTGTTTTTGCTAGCTTGGTTTATCTTATTCAACATGATAATCTCCAGTTCAAGTTATTTTCCTGAAAACAATGCAGTTTGATTCCTTATTCTTATCTCAGTTTTTAAGAAAACCTCCGTGGACTGACAAGTTATAATGTTATTATTACTGTAGATACTGTTTTCAATTGTTGTTGCTACTATTTATGTATTCTATTCTTTTTTGGGGGGTGGGGGCTGGGGCTGGTACTTGGGCTTGAACTCAGGGTCTGCTTGCTGTCCCTGAGCTTTTGTGCTCAAGACTAGGATTTTATCAGCTTGAACCACTGCTCTGCTTCCTGCTTATTTAGTAGTTTATTGGTGATAAGCATCTCTCAGACTTTCACACCCAGATGGCTTCAAACCTCAGTCCTCAGATCTCAGCCTCCTGAGTACCTGAAATTGTACAGATGCGAGCCGCTGGCATCCACGTATTCTGTTCTGCTTTTTAAGATTATTTAAAGTGGGGGAACTGATGTGGGGCCTTTAATTTTAACTACTTAGGAAGCTGAGATCTGAGGATCAAGGTTCAAAATCAACCCTAGCAGAAAAGGCTGTCAGATTCTTATCTCCAATTAACTACACAAAGAAAAGCCAGAAGTGGAGCTGTGGCTCAAGTGATAAGAGTGCTAGTTGAGAACAAAAAGCTGAGAGACACTGCTTAAGCCCTGAGTTCAAGCTCCAGGACTGGCATGCACAGGGCCACGTGTGTGCACATGTGCACAACACACACACACACACATACACACACACACACACACAAGGTTATTTGATATATTTTATATATTTGGTTTGGGCAATTTGTAATTTGATACCTGTATACATCTTACTGACTATAAATAATATCATACCTTTATCATTCCTTAAAATATTCAATATTTTTCTTTTTTTGTTTTAGAGGGGGCTGCCATAAATGTGTAAATAAATAAGGATGCTTAAAACTCTCTATGGATACTGTACTTGTATTTCTTCCCCCAAATAAGATCTCTGAGTCACTTTTCTTAATATTTCTTTTTTTTTTTTTTTTTGTCTGTTGGTCATGGGTTTTGAACTCTGGGCTTGGGCGCTATCCTTCAGTTCTTCAACTCAAGGCTAGTGCTCTACCACTTGAGCCATAACACCACTTCCGCTTTTCTTAATATTTCTATGTGTTTTATTTCTGACCATTCTTTAACAATATATACTGATTTATAATTCTACCAATAATGGGTGAGGAGACTGGAGATTAATGTTTACTGAGGTCTAACTTGATTCTAGGCTCTGTCTACAGAAGGTAATAGGAGGATGATCAGAGATCAGAACCCAAGTGCTTTTGTCTCCAGGTTCTGTCTATTTTCCCATTCACTTAGCAATATTAGGTTTTACCTGTGTCAGTTGCTGTTTATTAGAGTGATTCACAATTTCCCAAGTATCATCTGTTAATTATAATTTTGGGAGACAATGTTGTCAGACACCTTGTATTCATATACTGTTTTGTAGAATGGGAACTTCTTTGTATAACTACTTAAAGATAATAATGAAAAAAATTTAAAAAACCAACAGCCCAATTTAAAACAAAAAACAAAAACAAAATCTATCTTTTGTCCATTCATATTAGTATATTTTAAATTTAAATTAAACAAAGACATTATATGTCAACTTTTTTTACTTTTGTTTACTTTTCTCTTCCAGGCTCTTGATGGAAATGTATATGATCACCTCAAAGATTATTTAATAGTTTTCAGTCAGACTGAGCTGGAAACATGCCAAGCTGTACAAAACACATTTCAGTTTTTATTAGAAAACTCAAGCAAGGTAAGTGCAACAGGTGCTATTATCCATTTTAGAATCTAATGTGTTTTTGCATACATTTCAAAATGAAGAGATCAGCAATATTAGAAGAAAATTTAAAGGACAATTTTGTGTAAGCAGCATCTGCTTTGGGTTAGGCTTTTGCTTTTATTTTTTTGGTGTGGGAGTTGTTTGTTTTTGGCGAGAGCCTGGAATATGGTAGGCAAGTGTTCTACAATCATTTTGAGCATTTTTTTTTTAAGATGAGATCTTGCTAACTTTTCCCAGGCTGGTGTCTGACCTTCAGACTCTTGTCATCTCCTGGAGTAGCTGGAATTACATGTATGTGCCTGTAATGCTAAGCATTCTTTGTAATGAAGTTGGTAAAACTGGTGCCACAACCTTGAACGAAAAGGGAGGTAATGCGACTGGCCAGCTGAAATATCAGTTCACTGCCATATACATTGCCTTTGAGAAAAATGGTTGAAGAGTTTTGTCTTCCACTCTGATTTTGAATCCACTCAACTCAGTCATTTGACAAAACAACAGGTCACATATCAATGCAAAGAAAAATAAAGGAACACAAAGGGGAAACTGATAACTGTCTTGAAACTAAATACTATCATGTCTTTTTTTTATAAATTAAGCATTTTTCCTATATCCCATCATTCATTCATAGTGGTCTTTTGTTTAAAATGTTGATCAGCTCTGTTAACATGCCACCAAGGGTGGAGGAAACTTTTTCTGCCAAAGGCCATTTATAACATCATCTAAAGGACTTATAAAATTATCAATACAGGCAGACAACTGTGGGCAAATGACAAGAAGTATACTTAAGTGTATGTGTCTGTCTTGTCATGTCCCAAATAATTTTGGGTGCCTTATATGGCCCCAGATGTTACCTACCCCTATGAGAAAATAAAATTTATTTTCTTCAGGATCTGATAGATTACAATATTTTGCCATAGTGAAACTATAATCGAAATAAATTGTTCCGTAAAAACATGTTATTTTCGTTCTGATAAATATGTACTATATGCTTCCTGCATTTTGTAACTGTTACTTTAAAAGGTCTAGTTCAATTCTCTTTTTCAGCACAGTAAAGAGGGAAATGCTAATACCTGTAGAAACTCTTTAGAGTATTCATCATCACAAGACAGTCCAAGACATGAAAGAAAAGGGATGCAGACTCTTTATCTTTTTTCTTTTCTATTTTTGGTGCTAGTCCTAGAGCTTGAACTCAGGGCCTAGACACTGTCCTGAGCTTCTTTTGCTCAAAGCTAGCCCCACCTTATGGCTTTTGATGGTGGCTAATTCGAGATAAGTGCCTCATGGACGTTCCTGCCCTAGCTGTGATCCTCAGAGATCTTAGCCTCCTGAGTAGCTATGATACAAGCATGAGCCACAAGCTCCAGGCTTGAGATTCTTTATCTTAAAGGTACCTTTCTGTTGTACCTGAGCTTCTAATTCTGTTTTGAGAAAAACATTAAAAGTGCTAAGTTGAAAGACATAAAAACATTATTGGCCTTATGTTTTAATGTCTTTCTCATATATCTTATTTTCCCATATTTTTACCACCATAACACAGTAGTGTATAGAAAGGAGGAATGGATAGATAGTAAGATTTCTGAAAGAAAAGAAAAGTGTTATTCACAGAATAATGGTAATTGGTAAATAGAAGTTTATTAGACCATTCTTTTTATTATAGTGTATAAATATATTTGAAAATTTTTATAAATGTTAGACAAAAATTCTACAAAATTATGTTGACTTCATTCCTTCAATAGTTGATTTTTTTTTATTCCTGAACAGATTTTTGTTTTTTAGTCAGTCATTGGACTTGAACTCAGGGCCTTGTGTGCTGTCCCTGAGTATTTTTGCTCAAGGCTAGCACTCTACTATTTTGAGCCACAGCTCCACTTCTGGTTTTCTGGTGATTAATTGAAGACATGAATTTCATGGCCTTTTGTGCCCGTGGCACAGGTATTTTATAAGCTTATTTGCTTGCAGAGTTTTAATACCATGTTTGCTTTATTTTGATAAATCATACCAGTCCATTTTCCTACTTTTTCTGGAACCAACTTTTGTTCTGCTTCTCAATGTTCTGTTTATTGAATTTTATTTTATTTTATTTTCAGTCGTGGGGTTTGGATTCTGGGCTTGGGCTCTGTCCCTGAGCTCTTCAACTCAAGGCAAGCACTCTACCTCTTAAGCCACTTCCGTTTTTGTGGTGGGTTATTGGAGATAAGAGTCTCACAGACTTTACTGCCTAGGCTGGCTTTGAACTGCATTCCTCAGATCTCAGCCTCCTGAGTAGCTAGGATTACAGGCGTGAGCTACCGGCACGTGGCATGTTTATTTAATTTTTGCCTTCATCTACAATTTTTCTTTCGATGTTCTTAATGTTCTTTTTATTTTTCCATGCATATTTTTCAATGTAAGTAGTTTATTTTCAGTGTTTCTCATTTTCTGGTACATCCACTTGAGTCTCAACTATTTTTCTGCTTTTACTGCAGTCTGTGACATGTACAACTTTTGTTGTTATTTCTCTATTTCCCCGTCATTAGCCCATGAATTATTTAGAAGTGAGTTCTCAACAACAACAAAATGAGTTTTTCAGTTTATATTCAATAGGCATGTAGGCAGGGTGACTTTTTTTATTTTCATTTTTATAGAAACTATATTTTGTTGTATTGTACAACGTTTGATTATCCCCTGGAAAAAAAATCTTTAAAATTTCTTTTTCCAAGAAAAAGTTAGATTTTATATACCATCCTTATTTTTAAAGCACATAATTATAACAGATAGCTAATATTATAATGCACTTCTTAATTTTTGGGGAGTTTTTAGCACCACTTACATCCAAATCCTATGAGATTAGCATGATCATGTTCATTTTATGGGATAAAACACAGACTCAGGACTTGCCAGAGGTAACACACTCATTCACAGTATTTTCCATTCTGTGGGTCGTGCCTACTCTATTATGTTAGCTCCTTAGCTTCTTTTAATTGAAAACTAATTAAGAATTTATGAACTACTTTGGACATATAAGTAGATAAACTTCCATTTTCTGTATTCACTCACTAGTATCTCACTCCCCAGAGATAAGATATAATGGAGATAGATGCTTACATTTATATTGAAAGTGGTAGGAATAAATATTTAATACAAATGATATAACTAGGGGATATGCTTTTTTTGTTCCAAGTGAAAAGAACTCATACCTAACAATTTTTATGCCATGGGCTTTTCTGTTACCAAGAGGTTATTTGGCTGCTCTTGTTAAATTGCCAAAAAAACAGTTCAGTGATTGATAAACCATTGAGAGGTTTGAAATTCTGTTTTTTCATTCTATACCATTACTAATTTATCTTTTGAGGTACAAACCTATTCTCCCACTTTCTAAAATGTAACATTCCCAAAGATATGAGATAAGTTACACTGATATGACACACTATAAATTTAAGATATTCTCTGTATCTTTCATCCCCTAAATGGTAACAGCTGGTCCTAGCAGCTGTTATTAAGTTTTAATTATTTATAAAGCTTGCTCTTCTTAATATTTTATGAAATACTTTGTATATGTAACTGAAGCAGATGTTGTCATAGATATTTTCACTAGGATAGTAATTCCAAAGAATAGTAAACCAATCTTTATAGTGTGTTTATACATTATTGATTTCTGTCTGCATAAGGAAACTCCTTAAAAATAATAATATAGCTTTTGAAACAATATATTAAATAAAATAGTATTCTGTGTGTGCTTTTAAATTAGTCTTTATTGTTATTAATACCTAAAAGACAAACCAAAAAAGTAATAAAATGAAGAGTAAAATCATATGATTCTTTCAGTGGAAACAGAAAAAAACATATGGTAAGGAACTGGGAAGGTGGCTCAGTGGTAGAGTGCTTGTCTTGCATGCATGAGGCCCTGGGTTTGATTCCTCAGCACCACATAAGCATATAGTAAATTCAGTGCTCTTTTTTGTGACTTAAAAAAACTAATAATAGGGGCTGGGAAGGTGGCTCAGTGGTAGAGCGCTTGCCTTGCATGCATGAGGCCCTGGGTTCGATTCTTCAGCACCACATAAGCAAAAAGAAAAAAGCCGGAAGTGGCGCTGTGGCTCAAGTGGTGGAGCGCTAGCCTTGAGCTGAAGAGCTGAGGGACAGCGCCCAGGCCCAGAGTTCAGGCCTCACAACCGGACCCCAAAAAAAAACAACAACAAAAAACTAGTAATAGAGGGCTGGGAAGGTGGCTTAGTGGTAGAGTGCTTGCTTGCCTTGCATGCATGAGGCCCTGGGTTCAATTCTTCAGTTCCACATAAGCAGAAAAAGCCGGAAGTAGCGCTGTGGCTCAAGTGGTAGGGTGCTATCCTTGAGCTGAAGAGCTGAGGGACAGCGCCCAGGCCCAGAGTTCAGGCCCCACAACCAACAAAAAAAAAAAAAAGAAGAAGAAGAAAAGTAATAATAGAAAGAAATATAGGCTGGGCACTGGTGGCTCAGGCCTATAATCCTAGCTACTCAGGAGGCTGAGATCTGAGGATCGCAATTCGAAGGCATCCCGGGCAGTAAGGTCCGTGAGACTCTTACCTCCAATAAACCACTCAGAAAACCGGAAGTGGCACTGTGGCTCATGTGGTAGAGCACTCACCTTGAGCTGAAGAGCACAGGGACAGTGCCCAAGCCGAGTCAAGCCCCACGACCAACGAAGGAAGGAATGAAGGAAGGAACCAAACATGGTAGCATTTGTGGAAAATCTACAGCTAGAACACTCAAAAGTACATAGAGGGCTAGGAAAGTGGCTCAGTGGTAGAGTGCTTGCCTTGCATGCGGCCCTGGGTTCGATTCTTCAGCACCATATAAGCAGAAAAAAAGCTGGAAGTGGTGCTGTGATAGAGTGTCAGCCTTGAGCTGAAGAGCTGAGGGACAACGCCGAGGCCCAGAGTTCAAGCTCTATGACCGACCAAAAAAAAAAGTAACATAGAGTATGGTATGGGCATTAGATGTACAGACCAATAAAACGAAATTGGGAGCCAGAAAATAAACCCAAACTTCTGTGAGCAATTGATTGTCAACAAAGATTTCTTGACAATTTAGTGAGAAAAGAATATTATCTCTAACCAAAAGTTCTGGCTCAAATGGATTAACCATTTACAAAGAAATGAAGTTGAGGGACTGGGAAGTTGGCTCAGTGGTAGAGCGCTTGCCTTGCATGCCTGAGGCCCTGGGTTCAATTCCTCAGCACCACATAAGCAAAACAAACAAACAAACAACAACAACAACAAAGAAATGAAGTTGAATTAAGTTGCATCTCTACCTCTGACAGTTTTTCATGAATTGTAATGTACTGCAAATAAATAATGAGTAAAGAAAAAGCTACAGAACACAATTTGGGTTTCTGTAAATCAAATATTGATTTCTACTGCTTCCCAAGAATATAATGCAATGATCCATCTTATCATACTGTTTGTTTTGCTGCTTTATGTGTAGTAGTATATGCATATATATACACACACATATATATGTATATACATATGTATATTAGTCTGTACAGAAAGCAACAAATATGTATATATGTGTGTGTGTGTATTATTATATGTGTGTATGTATTCATATGCACATATGTATAGGTATCTATGTATATGATATATATTTGTATAGGGGTGTGTTTTATGTGTTTGTGTGTGTGTGTGTGTATTTCTTTTTAGTTTGTCTTCGTGGTATTCTTTTTTTTTGGGGGGGGGGGTCCGGTCGTGGGGCCTGAACTCTGGGCCTGGGCGCTGTCCCTCAGCTCTTCAGCTCAAGGCTAGCGCTCTACCACTTGAGCCACAGCACCACTTCTGGCTTTTTTCTTTTTGCTTATGTGGTGCTGAGGAATCAAATCCAGGGCCTCATGCACGCAAGGCAAGCGCTCTGCCACTGAGCCACCTTCCTAGCCCCTCGTGGTATTCTTTTTTTTTTTTTTTGTCGGTTGTGGGGCTTGAACTCTGGGCCTGGGCACTGTCCCTCAGCTCTTCAGCTCAAGGCAAGCGCTCTACCACTTGAGCTACAGCGCCACTTCCGGTTTTCTGGTGGTTTATTGGAGATAGGAGTCTCACGGTCTCTCCTGTCCAGGCTGGCTTTGAACCGCGATCCTCAGGTCTCAGCCTCCTGAGTAGCTAGGATTACAAGCGTAAGCCACCAGCGCCCGGCCCTCGTAGTATTCTTTAAGATAGTATTTTGAGCTCAGCGCCAGTGGTGCATGCCTGTAATCTGAGCTATTCAGAAGTCTGAGATCTGAGGATTGCTGTTCAAAGCCAGCCCAGCCAGGAAATTCCCTGAAACTCATATTCAGTTATCCACCAGAAAACTGGAAGTGGTGCTGTGGCTCAAAGTGGTAGAGTCCCAGCCTTGAGTGAAAGATCAGGAACAGTGCCCAGGCCCTTGAGTTTAAGCATGAGGACTGACAAAAACACTATTTTTTAATACAATCTTTCAAAAAGTTGTCAAGAAATACTCTAAAAATAGGATTTTGAGGTAGGCCCTGGTGGCTCATGCCTGTAATCCAAGCTACTCAGGAGGCTGAGATCTGAGGATCCCTGTTCAAAACCAGCCCCAGGAAGAAACTCGTGAGACTCTTATCTCCAATAACCCACTACAAAACCAGAAGTGGCGCTATGGCTCAAGTGGTAGAATGCTTGCCTTGAGCTGAAGAGCTGAGGGACTGATGCTGGGAAAGGGGCTCAGTGGTAGAGCACTTGCCTTGCATGCATGAGGCCCTGGGTTCGATTCCTCAGCACCACATAAGCAGAAAAAGCTGAAAGCGGTGTGTGGCTCAAGTGGTAGAGCGCTACCCTTGAGCTGAAGAGTTCAGGGACAGTGCCCAGGCTCAGAATTCAGGCCTCACAACTGACAAAAAATAAATTAAAAAAAAAAAAAAGAGCTGAGGGACAGTACCCAGGCCCAGAGGTCAAGCCCCACGACCGACAAAAAAAACAATATATATATATTAATATATATATATATATATATATATGTACGTATGTATGTATGTATATGATTTTGTATTAGGAATAGGATTATCTGTCAATTTCCTAGTGGACAGGAATCTTCATAAAACAGACTGAGGAGGCCCATTAAACTAAAAGGCTAGGAGGAGAAACTATAAGTAGTAACATACTTCTCTCTCTTTCCATCTCATAACCTCCCCCTCTCTCCTCCTATTTTCCTCTTTCTTAACACCCCGACTTCCTGGGCCAAAGAAAGGTACGTTTTTATGTGATAGCTGTCTTTTCACTCTCTGAAAATATTATGACTGCCTGTAATCCCACCTACTCAGAAGCCAGAGAATGAAAGGATCTTTTTTTAAGCCAACCCAGACAAGAAAGTTTCTTTAACCACACCTCATCTTAACCAAAAAGTTGGCCATGATAACCTGCACTCTTCATCATAAATATACTGGAGGAATAAATAAGAGGATTGGAGCCCAAAGTGGCTTGGGTAAAAATGGAAGACCCACATCCAAAAACAAAGCAAAAAGGGCTAGAAGTGTGACTCAAGTGGTAGAATGCCTGCTTAACAAGTATAAGGCCTTGAATTCAAACACTAGTATTATACACACACTCAATGTTTATAAAATATAAATTAAATATGTATTTATCATATATGTGTATATATATATATTTACCAAATTTAGATACCTGAGAAAATAGTACAGGTAAGTAAAAACTCTTATGGAAAATGAAAAATAGGATATATAATATTGTTTCTTTTTTAACAGGGGCTGGGAGGGTGGCTCAGTGGTAGAATGCTTGCCTCCCATGCATGAGGCCCTGGGTTCAATTCCTCAGCACCTCATAAACAGAAAAAACCTGAAGTGATGCTGTGGCTCAAGTGGTAGAGCACTGGCTTTGAGCTGAAGAGCTGAGGGACAGCACCCCGGCCCAGAGTTCAAGCCCCATGACTGACAAAAAAAAAAAGTTGAATAAATCTTAAACTTTTAAATGTAATTACTAAATATTTTAACCTCATTAAAGACTTAAGATATCTTATTTTCTCTTTAGGTGGTACGGGACTATAACCTTCAACTGTTTTTACAAGAGAATGCTGTATTTCACAAACCTCAGCCTTTCCAGTTCCAGCCTTGTGAAAGTGATACTGTAAGGGGATTCCAGATTGTTTTACTTGTTGTGCAGTTGTATTTGTGCTTTAGTAACTATCGATTTTGGAGTCGTCTGGAACAGAAGAGTGTGCATCATTAATTTTATAACAAAACTACTGGTACAGAGACACCATGACATTTCTTCTTTCTGAAACATGGTTAATATGCCCAGTGTCTTTATGCTAACAACTTTCTCCTGCATGAAGTTAAGTTAGCCTAGGATGAATGAAGTAGAACATTCAAACATATAGAATATGGACAAGTTTTTCAAACTTGATCAACTTAAAATTGGGCCTTATTTGAGATTATTTTTGCCCTTCTACAAAAAGTAACAGAAACAGTGTTCTCACTTCCAAAATAACAGAATAACAGTGACTCTTACTCCACTTTTCCAAAGCCCAGTGATGGCCCTAACTTCTTTCATTTCTAGACACTGTGCTAAATGTTCTTACCTGTGCTGTCCTTATTTGCCTTAAAATTCTAACTCTGTGCTATTTTCTGTCCTTGCGCAATCTTTACTGGGCAGAGTTTAAAAGCTGCCCAACTGGTGGATATTGAACTGTCCCCTGTCAGTGCTCTGAGAATGACCATAGCTGAGGTATATGGGGGTATGGGTCAGGGTGGGAGGGATGGATGTGTGGGTTTGCATGTCAATAAAGGGCAGGACCTGGGGTTGGTATGAAAGTCATATGTAAAGGGGGCTATTAAATATATTGGCCATGACATTGCTTTTACCTTAGAGAGCAGAATTTTCCTTTTCTGTGTCTAGTGAAGAGTTCATTTTTCATCTTGTCTGAAGCACCTTCATTTTCCCAACATAGGTGCTAGGATGAACTAACAAGCTCACTTTCCTTTATTAAAGGGGAAATGATGACCTATAGCTAATGTGATTGCAATAATAATGTTCTTTCTACCATTTATTTTATCTTTGGAGAAGGATGTTAGTCACCTGGGAGGCAATTCATTTTTTCACAATGGAAAACAATAAATAATCTGTGCTTTTATAAAACTCCCTAATAATGATTTTGAAATGTTTGCTTCAATTTTTTTTTTCATGTGTGTGAACTAGGGTTTGACCTTTGGGTCTCCTACTTTCTAGACAGGTGCTCTCCATTTGGGCCACATTTCCAATCCTGTTTTTCACTGAGTTTGTATGTGTGTGTGTGTGTATGTGTGTGTAAGTGCTCACACCAGGTGTAGGGTTTGTTTGGGGGTTTTTTGTTTTTGTTCTTTTGGGTTTTTTTGTTTTGTTTTGTTTTGTTTTTGTCGGTCATGGGGCTTGAACTCTGGGCTTGGGTGCTATCCCTCAGCTCTTTGGCTCAAGGCAAGCACTCTACTGCTTGAGCCACAGTGCCACATCTGGTTTTCTGGTGGTTTATTGGAGATAACAGTCTCACGGACTTTTCTGCCCAGGTTGGCTTTGAACTGTGATCCTCAGATCTCAGCCTCCTGAGTAGCTAGGATTACAGGCGTGAGTCACTGGCGCCCAGCCTTGGGTGTAGGGTTTATGCTTAGGGCCTCACCCTCTTTCTCAGCTTTTTAACTCAAAGCTGGCACTCTACCCTTTGGGCCATACCAATATTTCTGGCTTTTTGCTCGTTAATTGGAAATAAGAGTCTCTCAGATTTGTCTGCCCAGAATGGCTTTGATCCTCCACTCTCAACCTACTGATTAGTTAGGACTATAGGTGTGAGCCCCCAGTGCCCAACTATATCCAGCTTTTTGTTGGTTGAAATGAGGTATCAGGAACTTTTTGCCAGGACTGATCTCTAACTATGATCACTCCCAGTCTCCAGATCCTGAGGAATTAGGATTATAAATGTGAGCCACAACACAAAGCCTTATGGTGGTTTTAATTTTCATTCACTTAATGACTGTGGTTGAATTTACCTAATGCTTCTTTTATGGGCTCATTGGCCATTAATATATCCACTTCAAAAAAAAGTCTGTTCTAATCTTTTGTTCATTATTTTGACTGAGTTTATTTTCTTTTTATAGATTATGTCTTGAAGATGAATTAAAGTTTACCCTGAATAGTCAAAAAATAATATGATAGGGATTAAAGATAATCATTAAAAATAATACTAACGGGTCTGGGAAGGTGGCTCATTGGTAGAGTGCTTGCCTAACACTGTAGGTTCGATTCCTCAGCATCACATAAGCAGAAAACGCCAGAAGTGGCACTGTGACTCAAGTGGTAGAGTGCTAGCCTTGAGCTGAAGAGCTGAAGGACAGCACCCAGACCCAGAGTTCAGGCCCCACGACCAACAACAACAACAAAATAATAATAATAACAACAACTAGGCGCTGATGACTCATGCCTGTAATCCCAGCTACTCTGGAGGTTGAGATCTCAGGATCATGGTTCAAAGCCAACAGACAGGAAAGTTTGTGAGACTCTTATCTGCAATTAACCAAAAGAAACCAAAAGTACATCTGTGGCTCAGAGTAGTAGCAAAAGAGCTCAAGGACAGTATCCAGGCCCTGAATTCAAGCCCCAGGACTGACAAAATAAAATAAATAAAAACAGAAAAAGGGCAAAGTTAGCTTATAAATTGGTAGCAAGTTGGTGATGGACTTTAACCAAATTAAATCCAGTATCTTGGGGCAGAAAGAAGGATTATGTGCTGTTGCTTTATTGTCTTATTCCTCTCAATTCTGTTCAACTATTTTTATTCTTTAATTGCATTGAAATTATTGAATTGTTTGCATGTCTATCTGTTCAGTGGCTCAGTATTGTAGGTTGGCATAAAAATCTTTTTCTTCCTTACTTAGCTTAGCTAGGTTCCTTTATACCCAAAAGTCCATAGTTTTAGAGATGATGCTTTCATGTTTAGCCATGTAATACAAAAAGCCTGTGTTAATTTATGGTTCAGTACTACTTTCCTGGTCTTTTTCTGACTCTGTGTAGCAGGGCCCGACATTTTGAGTGTCGATTAAGGGAATGTCTTCTGGTCTAGCTCTAGAAAGGTAACAATTGCATTAAGGATAACAATACTTCTCTCTCTTTTCTCTCTTGTGTTGTAGAGTCGACAACTGGAATCAGAAACTGGGACTACAGAGGAACACAGTCTAAATAAGGAGGCTCGGAAATGGGCCACACGGGTGGCACGTGAGCACAAAAACATTGTTCATCAACAGCGGGTAAGTGAAGTAGAAGACATCTTATCTACAGTCAGTGTAAATCAAATATCAAACAAATTTTAGAAGTTGAATTTTATTAATGTGAAAATACTGTGGGTTTTTTTCTGTACTTTCTCAATAGTCAGCATTATGCTCTTAGTTATCTGCTTATCTTAAAATTTTAATAAATCTTCTAGCAACAACATAATATTATATCTGTTTGCCACAGAAATACCTAGCAAAGCTACAGATAATGTATTACAGCCTTTGGGACAGAGAAGGGCATATGTACATTGGATTTAAAGACACAACTATAGATTCCATTAAAGTGAATTTTCAATACTAAACTCTAAGCACAAAGCAGTTATTTTAAGTATAGTTTTCCCCCAATTTTATTCCTATCTTTATCGTGTGTGTGTGTGTCTGTGTGTGTCTGTGTCTGTGTCTGTGTGTGCCTGTGTCTATGTCTGTGTCTGTGTGTATGAAAGAGAGAGAGCAAGGGTATGTCAGGGCCTGGGTGCTGTCCATAAGCTCTTTTATAGTCAAGGTTAGTGCTCTACCACTTGAACTATAGCTCTACATCTGCCTTTTTGATAGTTAGAGATAAGAGTCTCATAGATTTTCCTGCCTGGGATGGCTTCAAACTGCAATCTTCATGCCAGGTACCAGTGTCTCACACACAGGAGGCTGAGGTCTGAGAATCACAGTTCAAGCCAGCAGAGGCAGAAAAGTCCATGAGACTTTTGTTTCCAACTAACTATCATAAGACCAGAAGTGGGCGCTATGGCTCAACTGGTAGAGTACTTGCCTTGAGCCGAAGAGCTCAAGGACAGTACCCAGACCCAGAGTTTAAGCCCCACAACTGACAAAAAAACAAAAAACAAACAAGCAAAAACCTGCAATTCTCATATCTCAGTCTCCTGAGTAGCCAGGATTACAGGCATGAGCCACTGGCTTCTAGCTGTCTCTTGTTTGTTGTTGTTGTTGTTATTGTTCGTTTGTTGTGGGGGAGTTGCCTTCACAACTTTTTAAAAGAGTTTTCTGTATTTATTATCTCTCTATCCTTACCTCTCACTGGATTTTCTTTGATTTTAAATGCCTGAGGGTTTGCTGAGCTTTTTAGATCCATTCATTTAGGTCTTCCCCTCCTTTCTCTTCTCTTCATTCTCTTCCTTCCCTTCAAAAAGACTAAATTGACAAAATCAGCATGCAGCCTGTGTTGCAAGATCCAAAGTAGACTCTTTGGTTTCTCATTTTTCTTAACCAGTCAAAGATTCCATGACAGTTAACAACTCCCTTCATCTTAAAACATTTTCTTCTCTGTCATCCATGACTTACCAATCCTCTCTGGATGCTCCTAGATTCTTTCATGGATTTCTCTATTTCTGCCCCCAACTAAATATTTTAATTCCTTAGGTTTTTTTGTTACTAGGCCACCTTCTTTTCATCTTCTATACTCTCAGTAAAAGCAGTTTCAATCACTTCCATGATTTTACTTACAACTAAGTCATAAATTAATATTTCCAACATTGAGCCTTACTACTATCTGCCCCTTAGCTCTTTTGCCTATTTTGGCAACTTAATTTCACTGTCTTGTCAACATCTCAGATTCTTTGTTCCTCGTATGGAATGCTGCATAGCAAACTATCTCAAACTTAATGCCACAAATGAGAGCCTTTTTTTTCTCTCTCTCTAGTCCTGGGACTTACACTCAGGGCCTAGGCACAGTCCTTAAGCCTCTTTGTGCTCAAGGCTAGCACTCTACCACTTGAGTCACAGCACCACTTCTATCTTTTTCTTAGTAGTGTTTATTCGAGATAAGAGTCTCATGAACACTATGATTTGAGGCCTGGGCTGGATTCAAATTGCAGTCCTAAGATTTCAGCCTCCTAAGTAGCTAAGATTAGAGGTTTGAGCTACTGGCTCCCAGCTAAGAGCATTTTTTAAAATATCATCTCCCTATTCTCAGTATTAGGTCTCACATGTTTGTAGTCAGATAGTTGCCAGTGCTGGTGACATCTGACAGGCTTCCCCACTATAATACCTGGTGCTTGGACTGGGAATAGTTGAACAGCTATGAACTGAACAGCTGAAATTCTCATCCATCTCTATCTCTCTGAAGTCTTTTCACATAGTCTGTCCAACAGGGCAGCTTCCAATTGGATGTTCTTCTTTTATGAAGTGCAATGAATGTACTTCTTTTTTCTTTTTTTTTTATTTGTGAAGATACTGTACAGAGGGGTTACAATTACATGGGCAGGATAATGCGTACATTTCTTACCAAGCATTGCAGCCTCCTCCTTTTGTTTACCCTTC